TCCTCCTCCTCTTTCTCCTCTCCTCCTCCTCCTCCTGTTCTCCTCTTCTTCTCCTTCCTCCTCTCCCCCCCCCTCCTCCTTCTTCTTTGGATGGTTTCTGTAGACTTAATGGTTGGGTTTCAGTGCTGGGGTCAATGTCATTCATCTCACCATCCTCTGTTTGCTCACGACGAGGGAGTTCCGCTCTGTGATCGAGGCTTGAAAACCAAGTCATGGATGAAAGAACACGGCAGTCTAAGGTACCATTCAAGGGCTCCCGGAGTGATTTGACATTCTAGAAGGCACTCCCAACAATGTGTCTTGAAGAAGCTCGCTGGACCACACAGCACTGTGGAGGGAGAGTCTGGGACTTACCGCTGGGTTCAGGGATTTTTTTTGTGTATGTATATATGTATGTATGTATGTATGTATGTGTGTATGTATGTATGTATGTATGTATGTATGTATGTATGTGTGTGTGTATGTATGTATGTTTGTATTTTTGTCAGTCATGGGGCCTGGATGCTATCCCTGAGCTCTTCAGCTCATGGTTAGTGCTCTATCACAGCATCACTTCTGGTTCTCAGGTGGTTAACTGGAGATAAGAGTCTCATGGACTTTCCTGCCCGGGCTGGCTTTGAACTGTGATCCTCAGATCTCAGCCTCCTGAGCAGCTAGGATGACAGGTGTGAGCCACCTGTCATTAATATCTAAGGGATATTAATTTTGTGAGTCCAAGAACTCCTGGAGGTGAGAGGCGAGGGCAGGGACAATAGTTTGTGGAACACTACTCAATGAAGGCGATGGGAAACAGGCTCAGAAAAAGGCCAGCGATTTGACCGAGGCCTGGCAAGGAGCTAAGAAGGCGGTGGAGACCAGGCCCGGTTCTCCTGATCTGGCCACTCCACAGTCCACTCCTGAAGTATGAGGATTGACTGTTCCTCAGCCCTTATATGGATCATGATACCCAGCAACCGGCAGGAAGCCAGAACAGAATGGCTTCAAAGGTAACGCCTCAAATGTAGCACCCGTGAGAGCTGCGGGGTCAGGCTGGAGACACTGAACCCTGTGTGCAATGTGGCGCGTTTCCCTGCCTGAGTCTGACTATTGTGACTCTTCTTGGTTTTACAGGCCCAGAGTGGAGTGAGGTAAGGGGGCTCAGCATCTTTCTTCTTTACCAAGTCAGCCCCAGTTTCACTGTCCAAAGAAAGCCTCCCTGTGTGTGTATGTGGGGTGTTGAGTGTCGGTGTGTGAGACTGTGGAGTGTGTTGGTCCTGAGGCCCAGATGCCAGCCTGTAGTGTTTGTTGTTGTTTTTGATCAGGGCTATGCTCTACCATTTGAACCTTAGCCCCACTTCTGGCTTTTTGGTGGTTAGTTGGAAATAAGAATCTCTTGGACTTTTCTGCCTGGGACTAGCTTCAAACCTTTGTCCTCAGATCTCAGCCTCCTGAATAGCTAGGATTGCAGACGTGAGCCATGGGTGCCTGGCTTGACCTTGAAGTTTTTTTGTTTTTGTTTTTGGTCAATCTTGGGGCTTGAACTCTGGGCCTGGGCGCTGTCCCTCAGCTCTTCAGTTCAAGGCGAGCGCTCTACCACTTGAGCCACAGTGCCACTTCCGGTTTTCTGGTGGTTGATTGGAGATAAGAGTCTCACAGACTTTCCTGCCCGGACTGGCTCTGAACCATGATCCTTAGATCTCAGCCTCCTGAGTAGCTGGGATTACAGGCGTGAGCCACGGGCACCTGGGTGAACTTGAATTTGTAAGTAATGTTGTGGCCTTATCAGCAAAGGGAGGATCACTTCTGTTCACAGATGTTACAAGCTGAGGAGAGAGATGAAGAGGGGCAAAGGGAAGACGTCCCACTCCTCTGCCCCATCAAAAGAACAATGGGGGAGATGGCGGTGGGAGAGAAAAAGCCAGCTATGGCAATAGAGGGGGGACACCAAGGGGCAGGCTGGGAGCCCCACAGTAGAGGGTCACATTCTGCTGTGTACATTCTGCTGCCTTTTTGTACTACTTCTCTATGGAAGGTGGTCTTGAGGATCGAAGGGCCAGGAAACACAGCATGGAATCTAGCAGGTGCCTTGACAGTGCTCTCTAGCCGGGCAGTACTTCCCAATTGAGCCTCTGGCATTTTGTGAGGAAGGGGAAAAAAATAAGGTTTTCTCTGGTCTCCTTGCAGCAGCGTTAGTTTGCAAAACACTCTCCCGTTAGATCACTCCAATAAAACCACCCCTGGGCTGGCTTTCCGTTGGATACATTCAATTTCAGAAATAATTACACGACCACAGCGTTCTGCCAAAGCGAGGGTAGGAGTCTGAATTCCCACCTGCAATTTCTAGCTCCCAAGGGATAACGGGCGAGAGAAGAGCGGCAACAACTTAGTTGCAGGACACAAAAGCTCTGTGAATTTCTTCCACGGATGATTAAGGCTCTTACACGTCCAGCCAGTCACTTTCCCAGAGGAACAAATGAAACCGTGGGGTTCCAAGTGTGAGCCTTCCAAAACCTGGCACATGACTCCTTTGCCTAGTACTCAAGGGAAGCCAGGAGACAAACTTGATTGATTTCGGTAATGATCAGCTGAGATGATTATCATAGTCAGGCCTTTTGCTTTCTTATGCAGGTTTGATGTAGTATATCTGCCTAGGGTTTGGTTGCAGGTGTAACTTGACATCTTCTTGGATGCCAAGAGCAGCTTCCAACGCTGCTCTTCCGTCCTGCGCACTCTGATTGGTCCTCTTCTCCATGCTCCGCCCTCCTCTTACTGCTCAGGCTCCACAGCAGTCCTGCTGGAAGTCAGCCTTTGGGTTTCTTGTTCACTAAGGACGCTGTTGCCAAGATGCTGGTAACTTCCAAGTCAGTATCTCTGATGCCATCTCCTGGGTTTTATTCCATTTCTAATACATACCAGACAACAGAATGATAGAAACTTTTTTGGGGGGGATTGTGGGGCTTGAACTCAGGGCCTGGGCACTGTCCCTGAGCCTCTTTGTGCTCAAGGCTAGTGCTCTATCATTTGAGCCACAGCACCAGTTTTGGTTTTTTGAGTGGTTAGTGATAAGAGTCTCTCGGGGGACCTTTCCTGCCCAGGCTGGCTTTGAACCATGATTCTCAGATCTCAGCCTCCTGAGTAGCTAGGATTACAGGCTTGAGCCACCAGTGCCCAGCATGATTTCTTACTGGATAGAAATCCTTAATGTATCTTTGGAGCCTATAGAAACGTCTGTGCCCGTCTATGAAGTGGAGATGTTCCTGTGGCATAATTTTGGCAAGCAGATCAACTTTCAATTAGAACCCTATCAAAACAAATGTGCATAACTAATTATGCAAAAGAGCAAAGATGGTAGTGAAGAATTAAACACATCAGCTGAACTCCCAGGTGGCCTGTGAGGTACCTTTATCAGAAGGGGGATTTTTATTTTCCCACAGGAAATGTAACTATTCGCTTCATTCTTCCTTCCCACCAGGTCAGAAGGAAAACACTGGGTACAGTAATGGCGAATCAAATCAGGTAAAGTGCATGATAGATTTTTACGCCAGTGGATGAGAGAGAGAGAATATTGCTAAGTGGCAAAATGTCTCACAACCATTATGAAATAGTCAAAGGATCTGTATAGCTGTACTCTAGGCAGAAATCATATTGATTGTTACTTTTATATATGGAGTAGAGAGCGCACATCATCATGGAGGGAGGGAGGGGGGGCAAGAAAGGAGAAAGGTGGGAAGGAAGAAGAGGGAGGGGTAGAAGAGAATGCCTGTGTTGCTGGCTTGCTTTTCCCAGGGCCTGGGCCTTGTCCCTGAACTCTTTGGCTCAAGGCTAGCACTCTATCCCTTCTCCACTTCTAGTTTTCTGGTGACTCATTGGCAATAAGAGTCTCACGGACTTTTCTGCCTGGGCTGGCTTTGAACCGCGATCCTCAGATCTCAGCCTTCTAAGCAGCTAGGATGACAGGCGTGAGCCACCAGCCCCCTGGCTTCATTTTCTCTTGAATCTTGCTTTCTCTAAAAGTCAGTCATGCAAGGAGAAGGTAGGGATAGAGAGAGCTAACGGATGTGGGTAGAGTCTAGGAAATAGGTTCTGCAGTGCAACACAGAGCTGACCACAATGAGAGCTATCTATTGATTTATTGTTGGTCGTGGGGCTTGAACTATGGGCTTGGGCGCTGTCCCTGCGCTCTTCAGCTCAAGGCTAACGCTCTACTGCTTGAGCCACAGCACCACTTCTGGTTTTCTAGTAGTTTACTGGAGATAAGAGCCTCATAGAGTTTCCTGCCCGGGCTGGCTTTGAACTGTGATCCTCAGATCCCAGCCTCCCGAGTAGCTAAGATTACAGGCATGAGCCACCAGTGCCCAGCTAATCAGATCTTTTTAAATCTTCAGATTCAACAGACCTGAGGATGTCTAAGATTTAGGGAACTTTGGGGGCTATGGGTAAAGTCTTAGATGTTTCAGAAGTTTATACGATCTGATGAACGGGCCGACATTGGTTTGACATTTGAGACATAGTTGGTCCAAACATGGCCAAGCTGCTGGTAATGAGTGTTTGCCATCCAGGGCAGGGCTGATGGCTTCACCCCTCCCTGTCTCTCCAGGTCACTGTCCCCCTGATCATTGCCTCCACCATGGGATTTGTGCTGTTCCTGGCTTTCCTCTTGGCATTTCTCCTGCGAGGTAAGTGTCAGGGAGCCCTTAGCGCCGCCGAGGTAACTCCAGCAAGATCTGGGGGTGGGCAGTTCCTGCCCTTCCCCTCTATCCTTAAAGAGGTTCAGACTGATCGTGGCCCCTCCACTGTGTGGAAGAGCTCCTAGCCCTCATCTCCATGACTGTGTTAATGGCTATTGTGTTGTCCTGCTGGTTAGCCTTGATATTTTGGACAGGAAAAACAAGAGTAAGAGCACCTACATTGATTGAAACTGGCTGTCTGTCAGCCCTAACATGGTATTCTTTATTTCTGGAGTGGGCAAGGGGAGGTAGAAATTCAGGGCTAGTAACTCCCTTAGCCATTTTTTGCTCCAGTCTGGTGTTCTACCACTTGAGCCACACAGCTCTCTATTTCTGGTTGTTGTTTTTTTGCTTGTTAACTAGAGGTAAGTGTCTCATTGACTTTTCCTGCTAGGGCTGGCTTCAAATTGCGATCCTCAGATCTCAGCTTCCTGAATATAGCTAGGATTTCAGGTATGAGCCACCAGCACCCAGTCATTTTGGGGGCTTTTTATGAATTGGAGGTTGGATCAGTGGTCAGTCCCTCTGACATAGGGTGGCATGCATCCTGATTAGACCAGCAAGCTGATCAGGGTGGAGTTTTGTCCAGAAATACGTCTGAGTTTCTGAGTACTGTGATATTTTTAGAAAAGGAAATACTTGTCAGGTTTGCAAAAGATCAGCAAGGAGCTAGACACCTGAGATTTGTGCCTGTAATCCTAGCTACTCAGGAGGCTGAGATGTGAGGATCACAGATTCTTAGCTAGCCCAGGCAGGAAAAGTGAGAGACTCTTGTCTCCAACGAACTAGCAAAAGACCAGAAGTAGAGCTGTGGCTCAAATGGTAGAGCACCATTCTCAAGTGACTAAGCTGACAGTGCCCCAAGTTCAAGCCTCAGTATCAACCAAAACAAAAACAAAGTAAGCAAAGTTAGGCGAGACCCTGTACCAAAGGAAGTTATTAGGTTTGACACAGCTATCTTGCTTATACTGTGGCCTTACCTTTGCAGGAAAATTGATGAAAACCAACTGTTTGCAGAAACACAAGAGGTAATTCGTGGTACCAGACTGCTGTTGCCCTGATCTTACAGATGATTAGAGAGAGGCTGTAAGATGTTTGCAAGGTGGAAAAGGCTGGGGCCTCATTTCTGGGATTCAGTTCCTCTTATCCCTTGACCATTAACCCTGGGGTATGATCCAAAGGGAAATGTCAAGACAGGTGTCCTTAGTAGAAAGAGGACTTCAAAGGTCAGAACACAATTAAGAACATTTAGAATATTATTCCTGGGATGTGTTTCCCCTGTCCCCAACCCAGTTTTGGGTTATCGTTCATGCTCAGCTTATCAGTTGAGATGGGGTCTCACGGACTTTTTACCCCACTTGGCATGGAAGCATGCATTCTCCAGATCTTTGCCTCCCAAGCTGGGCTTACAGGTGTGAGCTACCAAGCCTGGCTGGAAACAGGTGGGTTTCTTTTTGTTGTTGTTGTTGTTTCCCCCACAGTTTGAAAATAAACAGTATTTGAACAGTTTCTGAAATTGAATTTTGGGTATCTGGCCTGTTCTATGCATTTGGGGGGAAGAAATAAAAAGATGGAATGTAAGTTGTTAATGAACGATTTACTTTCATTAACTAACTGTACCACTGCAATGTTGGTCAGCAAATTCTGTTTGTTTGTTTTGTCCTGGACCATGGGCTTGAACTCAGGGCCTAAGCAGTCTTTGTTCTCAAAGCTAGTGCTCAACCACTTGAACCAGAGCACCACTTCTAGCCTTTTCTGAGTAGTTTTTCGGAGATGAGAGTCTCACAGACTTTTCTTCCTAGGCTGGCTTTGAACCACGATCCTCAGCTCTCAGCCTCCTTAATAGCTAGGATTGCCACTGGTGTCCAGCTTGATCCTCAAATTAGAATGAAGAAGTAGGAAGTCGCCCCTGGAGATGCTCTTGGTTAAATAAATGCATTTAGATCACCACTTTCTGCTTTGCTAAGAGAGCCATTGCTCTTTCTTAGCATACATTGGTAACGCCAATCATGGCCGGCAGTCACAGTTTCTGTAAGCTCTAATCCTGGACAGCGGGGGCATTCCTTAGGAACACCTGTGTTTTTGTCTTGCTTGTTCTGGTGTCTTTGGCCTTGCCTTGCTCATTGCGTCTGCTCTACCTTGCAGGCTGGACACCACTGGAGAAAGCAAAACGGTGCTAGATGACTTGCAACATGGCGGAGACGACGAAGAGGGACTCTTCACCCTCTAACTCTCAACTTTTCTCAGGACTCTCCACATCTCTCCCGACTGGGCACGGGGGATGCCACCCCAGGGTCCAAATAGGCCCCAGCATGGTTTCATTTTTGTTGGGTTCATTTTTCATTTTGAACGTGCCATCTTTTCCATGGAGGTAATGGGTCCAGTCTCGTTTTAATTTCACACATGAAAGGTACTGTAGAGACCACATCTTAACATGGTCTCTGTCCACACTCCAGTCTGCGCTGTAGGATCTTTGCTCAGGGTCCTTCAATACTTTGAAGAACTCGTTGCTGTCCTCATATGAGTTCAGACAATGTCAGGGTCATTGTGAGAGTGAGAAATACTGCAAGTAAGATCTGTCTCCTATTTGCCTCTGCCTCTTGGTCCTAGATAGACACTGGGACCTGGGGGATCTCTGCTCTTGGCTAGCTTTCCTAAGGGGAGAAAAAAAACATCACAGGTCTCTAAATTGCCTTGCTTCTGGGACATGATTTCTGCTCCCTTCTCTTCTCTTCATTCCCCAGTCCTGTGTGTGACTCCATCTCTCCTTTTCTCTCTTGGGGGCACAGAGTGCCCAGCTTCTGATATGATAGGAAAACCCAGAGTCTGTACATAGAATCACACCATAATTCAGACTCCTTCCCCTTCCCTTCCCTTTCTACCTTCCCTTTCTCCCCACCCCCTTTCTTTTCTTTCTTGTTGGTTGTGGGGCTTGAACTTAGGGCATGGACACTGTCTCTGAGCTCTTGTGCTCAAGGCTAGTGCTCTACAACTTTGAGCCACAGCACCACTTCCCTTTTTCAGGTAGTTTATTGGAGATAAGAGTCTCATGGCTTTTCCTGCCTGGGCTGGCTTTGAACCGCGATCCTCAGATCTCAGCCACTTGAGTAGCCAGGATTACAGGCATAAGCTGCTGGACTATCAGACTCATTTCTGACCCCTCAGTTTTCTATAATTTTCAGTTTCACACTGGAGGGTCTTTAAAGGAGACCTTACTGTTATGTCTTTAATCTCCCTTGGGAGATTCCGCTTTGGAACCAGCCAAGAAACTATCTGAGCATAAGGTGGTGAATGACAGAGCAGAGCCACTATCTGGGTGTGAGGGTGAGCCACTCACAGTCAGTTCTTGTGGTTTTTTTTTGTGGCCATTTGCTCCTCAGTAGGAACAGGCTATTTGGAAAACTTCAGTAATAACCAGCCCGAGGAGCCCCGAGAAACACATTAAAGCAAACACTTGTCGAATGAATCAGCACTAAAAATGTGTGGACTGAAGCCAGGGTTCAAGTGGTACAGCATCAGCCATGAGCAAGCAAGCCAGGTGAACATGAGGCCCTTAATTCAGGCCCTGGTACACACACACACACACACACACACACACAAACACACACACACACACACACACAATCTCAATGAGATCTGCTTCTGGCCAGCTGCTGGGGGAACATGAGCAGATCTGAAAGACATTCATTCCTCTAAGAACATTCAATCACGTGTAAAGCAATAGAATCATTAATGGGCCAGCATGGAGTCTTTTGTTGGATTTCTTCTCTTTTGACCTTGTAACAAAAACAAAGCCAAATAAAGTCGGCCTCCTTGTTTGGCTAGGGCAGCCTAGAGGTTTTGTGTTCTGTTAGGTCCCTCAGCCTTACTAGAAAGCCCCTCTCTGGACATCGGGTGACAATGGGTCCAGGACAGCCTCCTGCATTCTGTTGGTGTTGAACAGAATGACAGGGTTGGCTCCATCGATAGACGTAACGACCAGCAGGTCGGTGTCCTCTCTGTGTTCCGTCATGAGTCTTATTACTGTTGGCATCAGGTGCATTGAACAGAACTCAGAACACTTGCAACCAGAGGGTGAAGCCTGGAGTTGGCTTCAGGGCTTCACCGTGGAGTAACACTGGAGGACTCGAACCAAGCACTGTCGTGCTCCCTCGAAGAGATTTCCAAACACTGGACTGGCCATGCTTCAGAACCCAGGAAAAAAACCAGTCCGTGTCCAGGCTCACAATGCAGATTTAACGAGGAAAAAAATCCATACTGCTTAATCCTGGAAGGAATGATTTATAGGGATGTGGATTATTCACTTTGCACTAAATTAAGTTGTCTTCCTTAGCCAAAACAAGCCTTCCCGGCAGGATGTGTGTCACAGTCTTGGCTAATTAATGAGTTTCTGTGCGTGGATGAATTATTGATTGGACCTTTGTATCATCTGCCTGGGAGATGATAGAAACATATTTACCATGTTCATATTCAGACACATAGGCACAAAAATTTTTTTTTAAGTTCTGGACATTAAACTCTCTATCACTTAATCATTCCATGAATATTTATGGAAACTGAGCTTGAGTTATTTTTAGACCCAAATTAGTAATAGTCCTCATCTGTGGATCTGAATGTTTGCTCTCCTTTTGTTGTTATAATTATGGATGTCTTATATCCAGATGTTTGATGTATTATTATTTTTTTAAAGGAACATTTCTTTTCAAATCCACTGAAATACCAAGCACTTAATAATGACGACGGTAACTTACATTTCCGCGATGTGTTTAATTTCTGCAGAATGTTTTCATCTCATTTCCTTGATGTAAAATAGTTAATCGGCACTTAACGTGTACTAGGAAGGAATATTATTCTGTTTTCACAAAACCCTACTAATTAACTGCTGTTATTATCTCCATCTTAGGAATGAATAAACTGAAGGAAAGATGGGAAGGGGCTGGGATTGTGGCTGAGCGGTAGAGTGCTTGCCTAGCATGCATAAAGCCCTGGATTCAATTCCTCAGTACCACAAAAACAGAAAAAGCTAGATGTGGCACTAGGGCTCAAGTGGTAAAGCGCTAGCCTTGAGCACCAGAGAATCAGGGACAGCGCCTGAGTTCAAGCTCCTGGACTAGCAGAAAAAGAAAAGAAAGGTGGGAAGGGCAAGGCAGCTATTCAGCAGTTACAGAGGGCTGAAGTTTAAACACATGTGCTTTCACCTGGATCCAAAGTCTGGGGCTTGAACTCAGGGCATGGGTCCAGTCCCTGAGCTGTTTGTTTTTTTCAAAGCTAGCATTCTACCATCTGAGTTTTACTTCCTTTTTTTTTTTTTTGGTCGGTGGTGGGTCTTGAACTCTGGGCCTGGCGCTGTCCCTGAGCTCTTCAGCTCAAGGCTAGCGCTCTACCAATTGAGCCAGAGTGCCACTTCCGGTTTTCTGAGTGGTTTATTGGAAACAAGAGTATCACAGATGTTGCTGCCTGGGCTGGCTTTGAACCTCGATCTTCAGATCTTAGCCTCCTGAGTAGGTAGGATTATAGGCGAGAGCCACCGGTGTCTGGCTTTACTTCCTTTTTTATTTTGTGTGTGTGTGCTAGTTAATTGGAGATGAGAGTCTCTTGGGCTTTCCTGCCTGGGGTAGCTTTGAACTGTGATCTCAGATCTCAGCCTCCTGAATAGCTAGGATTACAGGCGTGAGCCACCAGCTCCAGGCCTAGACCCCAAGTCTATGAATCCTAGGGTTATTAGGGAAATTTCATATGGCCTTCTGCCATTCTTGTCTCCATTTATCAGAGACAGAAAGTAAGACAGATAAAATGGCGTAGGGGTCATCTGCTTTGCGTTGGGTACATTTCCTTCTGCGACCAGGTGACACCAAAGTATGATCACAGGTTAGATAGCATGGATTAAAGACAATTAAAGACAAATCCATGTGAGAACCCTACATTCCTTCACAGCACGTCACATGGCTATCTAGAAATGGATCGTATTCAAGTATTAAAAAAATTCACAATGTTTTATTGTTACAAAATCAAACTCTAAACCTATAGCCTGATAGGCTGCAAGGGAAGTAACCTTCCCTCTTTCTTCCCTCCCTCCCTTCCTCTCTCCCTCCCTCCCTCCCTCCCTTCCTTCCTTCCTTCCTTCCTTCCTTCCTTCCTTCCTTCCTTCCTTCCTTCCGTTCTTCCTTTCTTTCCTTTTTTCCAGTCCTGGGACTTGAACTCGGGGCCTGGGCACTGTTCCTGAGCTGCTTTGGCTCAAGGCTAGCACTCTACCACTGAGCCATCTTCCCAGCCCTTCCCCTGTGTTTCGTAGACCCCTCTCCCCTCCTTAAGGCTCACGTCTAAGGTTTGGAGTCCTAACTCATAGATTGAAAAATGGAGGAAAGACACCTTCATGGGTCAGTCCATCACACAAGTCTCCACTAGCGAGCCTGATGTGGGGCAGGTGGAATTTCACGAAGACAGGCATCTCAGTGACTTTTGTGGTGAGCTGGGGTGCAGAAGTTTTTACCCATGTGGATCTCCCACAGACTATAGCCCCCAGCCCCACCCGTCTCCCACACAGCCATTCTCCATGCCAAGATTGGGTCCTAATTCTTTTTTAAATTCATTTTTTGAATTGAGATTAGGTGATTACACACATTTCACATATTGCACAGTCTGGTAGAACAGTGATGCTTAAAGTCACCAACACATTCTAACCTTCACAAGGCAAATTGTCATTATCATGGACAATAAAGTTTGTGAATTCTATGAGCTTTGACAATACAACTATTTCTTCCACGTCAGGTGATATGTACGTTTCTTTTCCGTTGCTTAGTGTCAGCTGTTCCCTCTTTCCCTTTCATTCCTCCCTTCGATTGAGTCCTATTTCTTTTCTTTTCTTTCTTTGTTTTTTGGTGGTTGTGGGGCTTGAACTCTGGGCCTGGGCGCTGTCCCTCAGCTCTTCAGCTCAAGGCTAGCGCTCTACCACTTGAGCCACTTCCGGTTTTCTGGAGGTGTACTGGAGATTAGAGTCTCATAGACTTTTCTGCCTGGGCTGGCTTTGGACTGTGATCCTCAGATCTCAGCCTCTTGAGTAGCTAGGATGACAGGCCAGCAGAGCCTGGTGCTCGCAAAGGGCTCTAATCCCCATGAAGGACATCTATTTCCTTCCCACCCTGGCGCCTCTCCTTCTTGTTTCCATAGACTCCCCACTCTTCCTGCCACCTCTATGCCTTTCCTGTCTCCTTTTCTTCCTAGCCTGCCAAGGAGTAGATGATTTTCTGGCAAGTGAATGGGAAGACCACCGCTGAGCCACAGACTATGTGCTCCGGTGACTTTGTATTCCAGATCGGGGTTATGCTGACAGGGCAGGAGAGGACACATGGCCGAAGGTCTCCAGATTCCCC